CCGCCGTGCGGAGCTCCCGGCCCGCCCCGTGCTGGGCCACACTCGGTCGCTGAGCTTGAGGGGCCACGGCCCTGGATACAGCACTTCCGGGTGCCCCCCGAGGGGTCTGTCCTTAACTGCACTGGTCCTAGTAGTCCTTTTTATTGTAAAAAAGCCCCTTCTTTCTGATAGCAAAAGATCTACAGCGATCAAAAGTCTCTGAGGCTTAATTGATATCCACTGGCTGTATTGAACAGTATTCACAACTGCTACCCTGCATATTCTCGGAAACGTATGAAATTAGATCTACGTAAATAGACTTTTCCTTTGGATTAGTCAATGAAACGTTTTCTTCCCCCATTCAGATTAGTTCTTTTGGCGATTCAACACTTGGAGAGGAAAATGACATCGATTATCAAGTTGACTACGCTTTCAGGGGTGCAGGAGGAATCTGCCCTTTGCTATCTGTTGCAAGTAGATGAGTTTCGTTTTCTTTTGGACTGTGGCTGGGATGAAAACTTTTCTATGGATATTATTGATTCTCTGAGGAAGTAAGTAGTTCAGTTCATACAGTTGTGGTTTTGGTTTTTAATCTTGTCCTTTTCTGAAAGTTTTCAAAATCCATGCAACAGTATGTGTATGGTGATGTTAAATCCCAAATTGTTCTTTCTTTTTTTTTGTTTGAAGTAAGTTTTATATGAAGGTAATTATGCTGCTGAAACATTTCCAGTAAAAACTTGGGTTTTTTTCTTGTGAGTCTAATGAGTTACATCTGTTAACTGTAATTCTCAAACTATTCTGTGTTTGTTTTGGCTTGGATGTTTTGGTTTTTTCATAAACATGACACAGAGCAGAGTTTATGGGAGACTGACCTTGGCTCTAAACTAGGTTAGAATGGTTAACTAAGTCTTAAGTGAAAGAATCCTTAGCGTATGTAAGCTGAATACAAAGTGGTTCAACTCTCGCCTGTTGTTTCAAGTTGAGTAGGCCATCAGTCAGGAAAACAGCTTCTGCTACTTATCCCAGCCCTGCAAAGAAATAAACCTGTCTACACTTTAATACTGAACTTATCCAGGTTTACAGCAAGGAGCTTTGCTGATGCAAGCATTGATTACAAGGTTAGGACTGAAATATGGAAATTCTTGAAAGAAACTAAGCTTTGTGATGCTCTTTTTATAGATTCACTTTCCTAGCGTTGACACACTTGTAGTGTTTGAAGTCTTTTTAACTGAGGATTATTATGTATTAAGGATAATTTATAAAATTTTTCAAGTGTCTTGGCTGAAAACCAATTAGGTAAAATCCCCTTTTAATAACAGCCATCAAGAACAATGTGTGTGCCCCAGTTGCTCTGTGAGGGAACAAAAAGCTTTCAGCCCAACTTGTATTTTCACTTGTTGCATATGTTTTATGCCCTCAAGTTTTTCAATTATGATAGGTAGTAAGTTTTTTGTCTGAGTTCTTATTTTATGCAACACTTCACAAGAAAAAAATCTTCCGTTTTTGAAATTAATAAAACCCTAGAAATTTATGTGCCTCTTTATATTGGACCGTTTCTGTTTTTGAAGAAATGTATTTGGATTTGATCCTTATCGGTTTAAGGATCGTTACATCTTTAGTCCTGTTACTTGCTCTTTCTCATCAGAAGAAAAGTTGTAGTGTGCTTTAGGTTTTTAGCTGTCTAAAAAACTTGTAGCATGTCTGCACTGATAATGTTTTTGGCCCCTCAGTTAATGTACTTTCTGGTGTCCCAAGTATATATTAAGGTCTTTCTAATCAAGAATTTGATGTGAAACTTATGTCTTCAACCTTGAAATTATCTTTTCAGAAGTCACTTGCATTTTTAAGTACTTAAACATTTGGAAATACCTGTAACTTATGATTTTAAAAACTTTGCAATAAACCTGGAAGGATTTAAGTTTTCTTGTTTAGCATCCAGACTGTGTATGTATAGCCCTAACAGGGAGTATATAACACCATACAGAACTCTTTTCACTAACTTCTGTTGTCCCTCTTTTTGTAGACATGTACACCAGGTTGATGCAGTTCTTCTTTCTCATCCTGACCCTCTACACCTCGGCGCCCTTCCATATGCAGTTGGAAAAATGGGGTTGAATTGTGCCATTTATGCAACTATTCCTGTATATAAAATGGGACAGATGTTTATGTATGATCTCTACCAGGTATATTTAACTTGATGCTTTCATACACAACATCTTTGATATGGTAGAGTGCTCAGGTCTTGAATGCTCTGTACTTATTTGTTTTAGTCCCGCCATAATACTGAAGATTTCACGCTTTTTACGTTGGATGATGTAGATGCAGCCTTTGATAAGATACAACAGCTGAAGTTTTCTCAGATTGTGAACTTGAAAGGTAAGTTGTCACCAAAGTTTCAATAAATGACTTTTAGTGAAAGGCAACAGAGTCACTAAGAGTTAAAGTAACTTTCGTTTAAAGGGAGTAAGTTTTGAAATGTGCCTTTTGCAGGGCTGAATTCAGTAGCCCTGTGCCAGTCTATATCAGCTGAATTTTTGCCTTGGTAATTGTAGGTGGAAATGGGTAGAATTTCCGCTTAATGAGGAGGTCATGCCAGAGCTTATTTAGAAATCTGTTTCTCTTTTGTGTTTTTGTAACTTTTCTTGGAGTTTGCTCATGTCTCAAAAGCATTTACCCATGCCTAGAGGTAGATACCTCAGAACTCTGCAGTAACCAGTAACACAAAGGAAAGCTTTCTGGACAATGAATAGGTTGCAGAGATTAAATTTCAGCATGTTGGATGATTTAGTGAGGAGGTCTTCACTGACTTTGATACTCAGGGTAGCTTATTGCTAGGAACTGTGGCATCCAGAGAATCAGCAGCTTTTCACTCTTGTTGAATCTGGAGATCAGAATGAAATGGAAACCCTGTTCCTGAACAAAGACATATACAAGCTGACCACCAGCAGCTTGTCTCCAAGATGCAGTATCTCCCAGTTCCTGAACTGCTTTCCAAAATACTTGCCCTGTCATTTCGAAAATAGAAATGGGAAGCCATCCTTGAAAGGCTGCTGTCCCTTTTTCAAGATATTTGTAGCAAGGCTATGTTTGTGCTGCCAACTTTTACATCGTAAAAGTAATTTTAGTGAATAACTTTTTTAGAACACCCATCTTTTTCATATTTAATGGAAGTGATTCAAAAAGACTCAATGGATGCATCTAAGGAGATAGTGTATGTTTTATTAAAGCTGTGCATTTTTGTTCAAGTTGGTGGAATGCAGCAAAGTCAGTCAGCAATGGTCACCGGTGGTCTAGTTTTACTCTGATAAAGATAGAGGCTAGCATCAATGATGAGGAGCAAAGTGCATTTAAAAAAAAAAAAAAGCATCAGGTGCTGAAAAGATCCATCATCCCTGACTGCAGCACATGAACACCTTTCCTGTTGTTGTTTGACTTGGAAGTTTTCCAGAATGACAAACATGCAGTTTGTGTAATTTGTATGTGTTTCTGTAAGTACTTAGACAGTGAATGATAGAGTAAACATTTTGTGTTGCCCCAGGGAGGGGTCTGCCCTTCACCAGTGTACTTGCTTTCATGTGATATGTTTGTTATATCATTTACTGTTGTTTAGGTCTATATAGTTACAGCAGCTCTGCAGTGCCTCCAAGTACCGGTGGGAGGTAGAGGGAAGAAGCGATCTTCACTTTAGTTTCTTTTTCTGGAGGCAAAATAGAAGTGGATTGCAAAAAATTTCGAAGTTACTGGTTAGATGGGAAGGACATATATGTTACTGATTTTTTTATACTTCATTTGACTTTCTTCCCCAAGTAATAATTCTGGTTTCAGTTGTTTAAAATTATTTTCTCTTATTCAGCTAATGGATTTTAATGCATGTAAAGTACCTAAAATATTGAAAACTTTTGTAGGCAAAGGACATGGTTTGTCAATCACACCATTGCCAGCTGGCCACATGATAGGAGGCACAATTTGGAAGATTGTCAAGGATGGAGAGGAAGAAATTGTTTACGCAGTTGATTTCAACCACAAGAGGGAGATGTAAGTTCAAAATAGCAATAGATGTTTCTCAGACTTTCTGCTAGGTGTGTATCATTTAGTGTGTGATAAACAGGTATGGAAGTAGCAGTGTCTTCCCAGCTCTAAGACAATCACTAATTTCTCTTGCATTTGGATTAATCAATTTGAAACAAGCATTAGCTCTGTGTTTCTTCATTCCACTCAGTTTTATGCAGAAAACATTCAGCTACTGAGTTTATGTACGTGTGAACATCTGGAAGCTAGCTGTCTTATATTTTCTCGTAAAATAGAAACACAAAAAGTGAGATTTTGCCTTTTTTTTCCACAGCCATCTGAATGGATGTTCCTTGGAAATGTTGAGCAGGCCTTCATTGCTTATTACAGATTCATTTAATGCTACTTACGTACAACCCAGGAGGAAGCAAAGGGATGAACAGCTACTGAGTATGTATTCTGTTTGGGCTTGAAAATAGCAGTAATGTGATTTATTAGCCACTGTAAATTGTTTTTCTATGAGAAATTAATCAGCATCCAAACTAAAGAACCTTTATTAGAATTTAACAAGTTTTGAATTACTCTTTTCTGGTGCTACTGTTCCTGTGGGTTAAACATTTTCCTGAAAACAATGAGCCTTATTTGAAAACAGTGTATTTTACCCAGTAACAATTAATCTTTTATTAAGGGATTTTTAAATTACCTTCCTCAGCACATTCTTTTTTAAACTCTGGTTTACTGGTTTTTTTTAAATAAAAAGACAAAAAGAAAGAAAAAGTAGCATCCAGGCAATGAGATCTTTAGAGCTACCAAGAAAACTCCAGATCCCTTTAATTTTGGTGGAAATGTGGTTTTGAATATCTTTTGAAGTTTAATTTATTCTGTGTTCAGTTTTACTTCTGATCACGATTGTTAGAGTGATATAATAAAAAAAAAAACCACAAGCCACAAACATTCTAATTTTGGTTCAAAGTATAAATAGTAGGGTTTTTTTGTTTTTAATTCTTCTTAGCTAATGTTCTGGAGACATTACGAGGTGATGGAAACGTGTTAATAGCCGTGGATACAGCAGGCAGAGTTCTGGAACTTGCTCAACTTCTCGATCAGATCTGGAGAACGAAAGATGCAGGATTAGGAGTCTACTCTCTAGCTCTTTTGAATAATGTCAGCTACAATGTAGTGGAGTTCTCCAAATCACAGGTTTGTTTTGATTTTTAAATGCAATTATGAAGAGCGTAATGGAAAATGTATGCAAAAGCATTTTATTTCTCTTTTTAACAGTAAAAAATGGCTAAATACTAGGTGTTGCCGTTATTCTGTAGTGCATGCTTGTGTCTCAGATCTGTTGATCAAGTAACACAGAGCCCAGTCATAGCTATGGGCATGTTTCTTGATACTCATTTCTGTCTTTATCACAAGACTTGTTAGCATAGTTTATAGCTGTTAAAAAAGAGGACTTAAAGTACTTGTTTCTGTGTTGATTACGCTCAGCGTTATTTCTACGCTTACTGAGAAACATTGATGTAGTCGCATGCATATTGTGTCCTGTATTTCATATCAGGTTTGTACGTTATTGTAGAACTTGTATTCTTACAGATCACTTTTTCTTAATGTCTTTTTTAGGTTGAATGGATGAGTGACAAGTTGATGAGGTGCTTTGAAGACAAGAGAAACAATCCTTTTCAGTTCCGCCATCTCTCCTTATGTCATAGTCTGTCTGATCTGGCTCGAGTGCCTAGTCCAAAAGTTGTTCTTGCCAGTCAACCTGACTTAGAGTGTGGGTTTTCTAGAGATCTTTTCATTCAGTGGTGTCAGGATTCCAAAAACTCTATAATTTTAACTTACCGCACTACACCTGGAACATTAGCACGATTCCTGATTGATAATCCTTCTGAAAAAGTTATAGATATAGAGGTAAGAGTTGTGTGTCTGTCTCAAAGTTTGGTTTTTTTTTTATTGTGGGTCACCTGGGGGAATATGAGCAAAACTGAACTCAGTTTCCTTTTTGATCTACTGAAAACACTTCTAGTGGCGGAGGGAAATCTGAAATCAGTATGTTGCATGTTTAACCAATTATGGATAAACTTACATAAAAATAGGTCTCATATTAGGAACTGAAAAATGCTTTTTGGTGGTGTGGCAAAATATTCCATAGAGATGAGCATGAAGTTGCTTTTAAACAACACTTTCCTTTGTGTTTTTGTTATAACAGAAAAAATTCTGCTTGCAGTTGATGTACAGATCACAATATACAATGGATTATTCTTGCTGGAAAATACTCTGGTGTTGGATGAGGGGAGAATCAAGTCAAATCAGTATAATACATCACACCAGAATTAGAAAGATAAGCAAAAGCTAGGAATTAGAACACAATTAACTGTTATTCATGCTTTCAAATTATTTTCAATCGTTTATATACCAGTGCCTACTTCTTTCTGGTAAGTGTTGTTAATTTATGGGAGTCGCCTGTGATCACAATGATAATTTCAATCCTGATGATGCAGCTTTATTTTAGATTTATATTGGCTTGAAAGCATTGAATTACAGTATTTTAATAATACTGAATTCTAGTAATAGTTTAAGTGACCCATACTCTTGATTTTCAGAAAACAAGAAACAAAATTTACAGTTGTTTTGCCTGGTAGTATGACTTTACTAGGTTCTGCTGGTTTGATGTTAGTGGCACAAAAATTAGAAAAACACTGCTCATCTCAGAGTATTTGCATTCACTTGTTGGGGAGATATTTCCTGAAGATGTTTATCAGAATCAATTAGCTTTACAAAAGATTCTTAACTTTTAGAAATGCTTTTCTGTTAAAATAGACTCTACTGATTGATAACGTCATGATGCCATGCCAAGGTGCCACACATTTGCATAATATCATACAAGTTGTACTTGCCCTTGGTACTTAAATATAAATATTAATGTCTGCAGCGTGTAGGAAAAGTATTAAAATCATGTCAGCTGCTCATGATAACACTAATTTTAATTCTGTCTGCAGCTGAGAAAACGTGTCAAGTTGGAAGGAAAAGAACTTGAAGAATACCTAGAAAAGGAGAAATTGAAGAAAGAAGCAGCTAAGAAGTTAGAACAATCTAAAGAGTAAGTATATTGGCTGTTCTTGCATTCTGATGTTATGGCCAGAGTTGAGATTTCTGGCTGATCATTCTGCTGCTTCAACCATTTACAGGGATACATTAAAATCATGGTTCTGATAGACTTGTCTCAGGGCACTGAGGAATTGGGAATGGTTGTCTTTAATCTGTTGTTATGGTAGACCTGGTTCATCTGCCGTTTGACTGCGAGCTCTTTCTTAGATACATAAACTGCCCTTGTCCTTGGTTGGTGTTATGTCAACTGTTATTTTCCAGTCAGTGTGTTTATGTAGTATTAAACCTGAAGGAAAAAAGAGTGCTAGTTTTTTGGAATGTCATTTCAGGGCAGATATCGATTCCAGTGATGAGAGTGATGCTGAAGAGGATATTGATCAGCCAACTGTGCATAAGACCAAACATGATTTGATGATGAAAGGTGAAGGTAGCCGGAAAGGAAGCTTCTTCAAACAGGCAAAGAAATCTTACCCAATGTTTCCGGCCCCTGAAGAAAGAATTAAATGGGATGAATATGGCGAGATTATCAAGTATGTGGTGGTAATGAATACTAACCTAGTAGCTACTAACGTTGTAGCTATGAAATAATTAAAAAATAGAAATAATAGATATAAAAGTCATTATTTTGTCTCTTTTGCAACACTGTTACATACTCTTCCAACTGCAGTAACTTTTGAACAGTTTGTGCTAAGTCTCCCAGGAAGCTTTTATCTTACAAGATAGACGATTTAATTTTTCTTAACCCGACTTTTTTTTCTGCTTTAAATTACACATAATTTTGATAAATTTATGAGGGGAAAGAACATTGTTCATCCTAGAATCCTAGCAATACCTGTCCTATTTGTTTAAAGAATACTTGTTAGAAAACCTCAATTTGCTAGTATTTACCAAGATACCAAAGTTCTCTTTTAAGATAGGAAGGTGATACTTTCCAAATGAACTCTGTTCAAATATGGAAATATTGAAGACAAGTGTAATAAAATTGTTGGCAATAATAATTATAAAACATCCCAGCATTGTTTGTTTTTTATATTATGTAGTGATTTGGTTTTACTTTAAGACTATTAAAAGCAAAATGCCTTTCATTCTTTAGACCTGAAGACTTTCTAGTTCCAGAACTTCAAGCAACAGAAGAAGAAAAAAGCAAATTAGAGTCTGGTTTGACAAATGGAGAAGAGCCTATGGACCAGGATCTATCAGATGTTCCTACCAAGTGTATTTCTGCAACAGAATCCATGGAAATTAAGTGAGTGGCTTTGTTGTTCTTGTCAGTTCTGCCAGAATGGTGGCATGGGTGCGGTGCAAATTGGATAAAAGGCTAGCTTGGAATTAAGAAAGTGGGAAAGAGCTTGCTTTTGTGGTTTTTTTGGTTTTTTTTTTTTTCCCAGCTAAGTTAGTTTTTTACAAGTCTTTCTGGGAGCACGGTGCAGAGTCTTATGGTTCCGCACTCTTAGGAAATTTGCAGTTTGTTCCGTGTCTGATGGAGAGAAGTGGAAGAGGAAGGACAAATGATACTATTGTATGTTAGCATAGATACTCAAATGTATATATATTTTGTTAAAAGAAGAACGTACTCAAATATGCTTATCTCATGTTTCAGATAACTGTGTAAGTGAATTTGTGGAATTCCTAGTGTTACGTACACATACATGCTGATATTTGACAATTCTGTGTTTTACTGATCCATAATATACCTTGTGCTGACAGCTTTTGCTGATTTAGAGTAATTTCAAAATATTTTCCACTTTCAAATGAAATATTTTGGGGCACTCAAAGGTTTAATCTTTTAAACTAAAAATGTTATTCTTGGGTTTTTAATTCAAACTAGAGCCAGAGTTACATACATTGACTATGAAGGACGCTCAGATGGGGACTCAATTAAAAAAATTATTAACCAAATGAAACCAAGACAGCTGATCATTGTCCATGGACCACCTGAGGCCAGTCAGGACCTTGCAGAATGTTGCAGAGCTTTTGGTGGAAAAGATATTAAAGTTTACATGCCGAAACTGCATGAAACTGTAGATGCAACCAGTGAAACTCACATTTACCAGGTAAAGTACTGGAATTTGTTAAGATGTGTAAATGCTGTGAACTGTAGTAGAGCTGTTTTGGCAGACTCTAATTTGGCCCTCTGTTCTTTGGGAGAGGAGAGACGATGTGTACATTTGATTTTGTGTGATTAAGACATAAGCATTTTTCTGTCTTCTAGGTAAGCATTCTCCTTATGCTTATTATTCATAAGAAGTGTTTAAAAGCTTAAACATGAGATCAGGGTGTTTTTACCTGTAGTGCAACAGGCAAGGTTCATGGCCACGGGAACATCAGTTTGCCTTACTCAATTCTTAATAGATTTATAATGCCTATATTTAGAGCACCACAGTACTCACAGTTTAGGATTCTTTTTGGAATCTGAAGGGGAGCCTTAGACAGCAAAGAGAAAAAAAATCCTTCGTACCTAAATATTAGCCAAGAATGAACATGTAAAGTTAGGAGCACATTAATGTTAAAAACAAGTAAGACGCCCTTACCCTCCCCAAAAAGTTAACGTGACAGTTCTTGGAAAGCGAGGTTCTGATGTGTTGCACTGTGTTAATACACTGCATTTAATTTTCATGGTTAAGCTCTGACTAGGAAAACTTGGATAATTTGTGGGGAGTCTGTGAAAGTCGTGTATGGTCCTGATTCAACTTCTGAGGTTGTTCAGTCGAAAGTCTCTCACATGCACTTTAGGCATTAGTCTTTTATTCCTTCTGTCCTTTTAAAGTTAATAGAAAAACATCAGTAGAATTGTTGGAAGAGGTATCTTTGCTTCTTTCCAGAGAAAAATCTGTTACCCTGTAGGAAGTGAAAAGTTCCAGTTATTCAAAATTACCTAGTTCTGACAGTCTTAAAACAGTGGTGTTTTCTGTGTTTTGTTCATTGGTTGTTGTGGGGTTTGGGGTTTGGTTTTTTGTTTGGTTGGTTTTTGAGCTATAAGGATTGCTAGTGTGTGAGAAGCAATATGATTGTAATTTTTCACAAAATGCTTATCTGAATAGAATTATAATTGCTTTGTATTGCCATTTTTTTTCTTCTTATATAAAGGGAAGTTCAGTCTTCTGCATAGCTTTAGTTTGGTTTTCTGTTTGAAATTTTCTGAACAGATGAAGTACATGGGAGACATTGAATTAGAAAATAATAGATGTAAGTGGGGCATCATTATCCACTGGTTTTTAAGTTGAGTAGTGACACGAGGGTTATACAAACTGTATTTTGAAATGGCCTCAAGTTGCACCAGGGCAGGTTTAGGTTAGACATTAGGAAAATTTTTTTCAATGAAAGGGTTGTCAAGCATTGGAATGGACTGCCCAGGGAAGTGATTGAGTCCCCACCCTGGAGGTATTTAAAAGATGGGTAGACGAGATGCTTAGGGACATGGTTTAGTGGTGGGATGACAGGGTTAGGTTAACAGTTGGGGTTAGGTTAACAGTTGGACTTGATGATCTTAAAGGTCTTTTCCAACCTAAATGATTCAATGATTCTATTCTAAAGTATAGAACATCTTGCCTTGGTGATACCAGTTGTCTCCTTTCCCTCCCTAGAAGAGTATGAATCAAACCTATGTGGAGAGACAGTGAAAGGAAAACTGCTAATTTTTAAAGCTTGAAATAAGAACTCTCCCTGTGTTTTCCATCAAACTAATAGTACTTTTATTTTTGTGCAACCCAGGTCAGGTTAAAAGATTCTCTTGTCAGCTCCCTTCAGTTCTGTAAAGCCAAGGATGCTGAGCTTGCATGGATAGATGGTGTTTTGGACATGCGGGTTTCGAAAGTGGATACTGGAGTTATTTTGGAAGAGGGGGAGCTGAGGGAAGATGAAGACTTAGAGATGCAAGTGGATATGCCTTCTTCAGACTCCAGTGTCATTGCACAACAGAAGGCCATGAAAAGCCTCTTCGGTGACGATGACAAGGAGATGTGTGAGGAGAGTGAGATCATTCCTACTTTGGAACCTCTGCCACTTCATGAGGTACAGAAATTATGCTGATCTGGACTTCTGTTTTTAAGAGCTTTGTATTTGTTTGTCTTCTTCTAGTGCTTACAGGTTGGTATTATGATCTTACTCAAATGAAAGCCCAACTGAAACTAGATTTTCATGTTTGGTTTTCTCTTTGTTAAACCTGGTACTGTTCTTTGATCAGTTGTGCTTTTCAGCAAGGATGATTTTTTTGCATCCGCTAGCAGAGCCTAGCATATAGTACCATCTATTTGTGAAAATAAGATTTTAATTAGCGTGTTTCATATTTGTAGTTAGTACTTCCAGATTTGGAAATGAGTTGCTGTTTAGTCACTCTTGGACTTTATTATGTTTTGGTTATGCTGTGGCAAATACTTTGTATACTTGAGATACAGATCTTTGAAATTCATACGTCTGTTTCTATAGTAGTGATTTGAGAGTTCATTACATCTTTTCTGTAAATTTATCTTTACTCTTAAAGTTCTTTGCATGTGAGTAGATACTATTGTATCTTTTCATTGAATGATTACAATGCCTTCTAATCCTAGAACTGCTTTTTAAGATACTGTTGCGCAATCCTAAATATAGTCTGTTCTAGGAGCTAGATAGATGTGGAGACAGCTCTGTTCAGATTCATGACGACTGTCATAGATGTATGTACTGATCAGCAGCGCAGCTTACTGCAGCTCTGTCCCTGCCATGACGTGGCTTGAAAGAGGGATCTTCAATGACAGCTTTCCATTTGTCTTCAGTATGTGAGCAAAGAAGGAAACTTTTCCTTTGTTTGATGGATAACTTCTGAGGCCTTCTGATCCGGCAAATGTTATGCTGCAAGTGAACAGAAATAGAACCAGTCTTCTCATTTATCTCTGTACTCTAGGCCACACTGCTGCCAACACAGCGATGAGGAGATCTTTGGAAAAATGAAAGGTATTAAGGAGCAGAAGTATTAATATCGTGTGTGTTGTTTAAAGGTTCTTGGACATCAGTCTGTGTTTATGAATGAGCCAAGACTGTCTGACTTCAAGCAAGTCCTCTTGCGAGAAGGTATACAAGCTGAATTTGTAGGAGGAGTGCTTGTGTGCAACAATTTGGTGGCTGTTCGCAGGGTAGGTGTTCTGTGTCTTAAACTCTTTGGTAAATAATATTCTAAGTGAAAATTAAGTTTCTTATTAGTATAAAGGTAATAAATTGAAACATGTCTTTTGTTTCAGACTGAAACAGGGCGCATTGGATTGGAAGGCTGTCTCTGTCAGGACTTCTATAGGATAAGAGACCTTTTATACGAGCAATACGCCATTGTCTAAGGAAAGTGCTGCAAAGATGTTTTTACTTGAACTTTTAAAGACAGTGGGGATTTCTCCCAGTTCTGAGGTTTTTGTAGTTTTCTAACTTATACGGGGGAAACCTAATTCATACAGAACAATTAACTACCCTGAACGTGTATATAACTGTTACTCTCGTTCTTCATAAATCTGTTGGTACATTCCATGTTGATGACTTTCAAACTGTTATGGCTTGCCATCTCTCACATAACACATTATAGATGAGTTTACAACAATGAACCCTTCTTGGAAAAGGTTCAATTTGTCGGGACATGGTTTTGGTTTTATAGATTCCCTGCCAAAGAGTACAAAATACGTAAAAGTCATTCTTCTGTTCTAAAATAAGATTAGATAGGGAACTGTGGGGTTTCTTTTGGTTTTGAGTTTTGTGTGGTTGGTTTTGGTTTGTTGTTTTGTTTGTTTGTTTGTTTTTTAAATAACTTCAACTTAGGGGAGAGTCTTGAGTCTGTCTTTTTTTTCTCCCCCTTCCCCCCCCCCCCCAAATTGAGGTTAATTAAAGTACATTTTTAATAGCCCACTTAAAGCTAGACTACCTAAACTTTCCCCCAGTTTTAATCTGGCTGCCTCTTAATGTTGTATCTGCTCCATCTTACTGATTTATTCCAGAACAGCATTTCATATTCTATGTAAAGTATTAATCTGTATCATCAAAAAATTACTTTGGAAAGGTACTCTAAGAAGATTGGATAATATTGTCAAGCAGTTTAAAATCCAGTAATTGTGTGCTTCAGAGTAACTTCTGTACAAACTCACAGAATTTGTAACTCCTAGCTTTTGCAAAATTATGCCAACTATAAAATATTTTCTGAGTTCTGATTTTAATACTTTCAAAGTCCAGAGTGCCATGAGACAAGTTCAGGAAGATCCTTTATCTTGAAATCCGAATTCATGTGATGTATTTAATGCTTTTGTGCCACGTTTCATTCTAGTTGCATGTTTTGTGCCATTTTTCATTGTATTTGACAGTGGGACTTACTGTAGCTGCTGATGCTAGGAACTGACCTTACTTTTTAGGTGAAGATGAGCACAGCTTTGGGCGCCTTAATCTCTCAGAAATTAACTTATGCAAACAAATGGCCTCTTGAGAGTTTCTTTAATCCTTTTTTCCCCCCGTCCACGTTTGAAACACCAGCTTTGGCAGCAGAGGGTTGCTTGCTTTTTTTGCATACAACAGCAATGTTATATGTGCTCTCTGTGTGTATGTTTAAATAAAACCTTTTGAAAACATGGCAAAAAATAGCCCGGTGGGCTATCAATGGAAAGATAATTTACTTTACAATTCATTCTTGACAAATAGTTTTCTATCTGATCTACAGACTATTTATTCTGTTTAAAATAGTAACTTAAAACTGAAGACCATGTTAAAAAAAACCCCAAACTGCTAGAACTATATACTAAAAATGTAAAAATCTTAAAAAATTTAAGGCTGAGTGAGAATGTATTTTGTTACACAAAGAAAATCTTGGCTAGGAATGACTGAATGGCTCAATGCTTTTTTTTTTTTTAACAGTGTAGAAAAATATTTATTTTCCATTATATTGACAGTCAGAACTTAGAGAGGTGTTCTGGTTTTGTAGCTGTTTTGTAGCAGTGATATGTAAATCTATATGATACTGGATGCTTCTTGGTGAATACTGTTGTATTACTATTGTTGCTGATACTAATGAACTTTTATAAAGTGAGTTACTTTGTACGTAATCATGTTGGGCTTAGGGCTTAGAGTGGGCAGAGAACACACATGCCTGCATGGAATATACTAATAAAGGAAAAAAAAAGTTAGGAAATTAAACTAAAAATAGTGTTGTTTTTAGAAAGGGATAAAGACAACAATGTGATCATAAGCCTTTCTATCAGTTTTGTTTGTTTGTTTTTTTTTTTTTTTTTTTTTTAAGCATTCCAGAGCAGTGGAACAGGCTGCCCAGGGGGGTTGTGGGGTCTCCTTCTTTACTCAAGACCTCCCTGGACGATGTCCTGTGCAACCTGCTGTAGGTGAGCCCGCTTTAGCAGGAGGGTTGGACTGGATGATCTCCCGAGGTCCCTTCCAACCCTTGCTATTCTGTGATTATGTGATTGATTCAAATTCAGGTAAGTTTAACAAAAGTTTATTGCTATCAGTCACTAAATTCCCATGTATTCTGGTAAAGAGGAGAACCCATAAGTAGTGCTGTCACTAAGGAAAAGGCTCAAGTATGAGCAAATCAGCTAACTGTTCTTCTTCAGTCTATCCAGCGTGAAATCAGACCTAGAAAGCTGATACGCAAGGCAATAGTAGTCATCTGAGTGCTGGGACTGGGGAAAGCTGGTTTTGTGAACAGTTCTGGTGGTAAAGAGGGATGAAGGGGAATACAGGACATCTGTAGTAAACATATCACAGGCTGCAGCTGCACTGCGGGGCAGGTGTGCATAACTCCTTGGCTATGCATTCATCACTTGTAACCAGTGCGGAACTGAAGCAAATTCCCATGAATTTTGCCTAGTCTGCTATCAGTTCTCCAATAGGGTTTGGGGTTTTTTTGGTTCTTAACTGTGATTTGCTTTAAGCGGTAATTCAATAATTGAGCATCTCTCTGTGTAATTATCAGCATTACTAATCTGATTATTGTTTGTATCTGAAATGAAAGATTCATTTCCCCTTACCTCCACGAAATTACAGCACTGACATGGACTGTAAGTTGTATTTTGACTTCTGCATTTTCTTCATTAGCAGTAAAATTTTGATAAGGAGTACCATTTCTTACCCTTTGCTTTATTGCTCTTGAGAGCAAGAATATTAACTTCAAGTGAAAACTAGTTTTGGTACTTACTGACCGTTTAAAAATACTTCCTTCCAAGGATAATACAGATTCCTCAGCTAAGAAGAGCCAAGGGGGTATAGAGACACAGGAAGGGCAGACACTCGCTGTCGCCCATTCCCAAAGCCTGTAGTATTTGTGGCTAAATCCTAGCTTTTGTATTCTCTTCTTTTTGGCCCTATGTAGTAGAATATGCAGAAGATTAAGGGAATGTAGAAGCAGGACTCTTTAATTCTAGAATTATTTTTTTATTATTAATTGTTAAGCTGTTCCCATTGTCTAAACATAGTCTTACCCTGAAGTTAAATGCCTTTATGTGGGTGACAGTCTCATTTTTAATCATTTTACTTTAACAGGATGTACTGGAGGTGAGGTGAAGCTGAAAAATCTTTCTTCTTTCCTTCCCTGAACAATATTTAGACTTAACCAGATCCACTTCTCGAAATACGCTGTTAGAGGAAAGGTAGTATGCCCTGCATTCAGTCAGAGTAACATTTGAGATCATTTGAGATCTACTTGCTGGTGAAACTTGCTTGGAAACATAGGAATTCTCCAGTGTCTGTACTAGCTTTTAATGGTGGTCAAACACTATTCATTTGGAATAAACAAGCAAAGAGACACCCTACCAACACCCCTCCCCCAATATAAATAATTGTTACAGATGGTTGTACTCTAAAACACTTACCTTGTGCAGAATCAAGATTTCTTTGATAAGGCATAACATGTATTAATATTTCAGTTAAGACAGGGGAATGTGTTGACTGGGGAAAACACTTAAACCACTAATATTTTTGAGACTTTGGCAAAAGAAATCTTACAGTAAGGATCTGAACATTGCACAATATTCTGTTTCATGGCTCCTACAGATGTTTTCATTATTTTAAAAAGGTGGTGCTTGGGAAGATGGTCTCGCAGTCAAATCTGATTAAAAAAATGTATCCAATAAACAGAATTTTAGGCCTTGATCTGAAAACCATATAAGGAATCAGTGGTAATTGAGGATAATGAAATGGGATCAAAAGAATTTTCAAAATTGCATGTTGAAATTTAATTTAAAAAATACTTTAGTCTTATCTTTGAGACTCTTTCTGATTGGAAAGGAGATATGACACAAAGATCAAAATTTGCATCAATAAGATTTATTTTGTAAATGGGAGTCCATTGCATGGCTTATTTTCTGCAAGTGCAGAACAGGGTAGTTAACCAAAGTTGACGTGAGCAGTATCTTAAAAAAGAGTACTTTTATTCCTTCCAGTGAGGTTGAAAGTTTCCGTTGTAGTAACACAAGCTTTTGCATCCTCCCTGCGTGATAAGCCAGTATATGTTGTGAACCATTACTGTACATCACACTGCTTGACCAGTATTAACCAAGGGATGAAAGAGCACATTGTTTTGGATTGATCTAAATTACTTTAATTACATAAGTAAAATTCTTAATTCCTTGTCCTAATAAGTGTCTTAGTGTTTCTGGCAGAGAAATTCTGAAGAGTGGTTGCAGTTCTGTGGTAAGTGAACTGATCACTCTTTTCAGCTCAGTAACGCTTGTAGTGGTAGGAGAGGAATACAGAGGTAGTATTTTAAGTACCTGTTAATTGACAATCGTGTTTTCTTATGTGTAGTGAGAATATGGAAGTTTGATAAATATGGGAGATACAAAGATATGGAAGAAATAAATTGCTGCGTACAGTCCACTTGAAATTTTATTCTCCTTAGTAGTTTATATATCCACTGTGATAGGAAGTAAAAAAAAACATGATTGTGTTTTTGAGTAGAACTTCCAGTAAGCCATGTGTCTGCTTTCCTGGAAAAGAAGGATCCATAGAAACTCAAAACATTATGAAGAAGCAAGTTCAGTATATGAGCTTTAAGCAGTAATAACCTGTGTGTTGTTGAATAATCCTCTTAGGTGATGCAAGCTGGATCTGTGGTTCAACAGCTGAATGATAATAAGCTAAGCATCTGCCAAAAAAGTATAGTTTGTAACTGCAATCTGATATTCACCAATTTTGATAACAAGCAAATACATTATTTCAGTTGTGTAGGCTTTTCTTAAACATTTCTCATTTTCAGTGCAGTTTTTCTGAAGTGCTAAAAAACTTCTCTAAAGTTATTTTTAGTAAACGGTTCTAAAGAAATTTGCCAAGGTGGTAATTTCAGTTAAAAAAGAAAAAAAACCTAAACCACAAACTTTCTGTCCAACTCAGCCCAAGGTTGATACCGGTTTTTGTAAATTTGACTTTGAAAAATTACATAGGGAAATGAATGGAAAGAGTTCATCACATGGTAGTGGCCATGGTGTCCTTGTTGGTATTTAAGATGTAGAAAATAAAGCAAAATACTTAATGTCAGATAACAATGTCAGAACTTTTGCAGCTGAGTAACTATTCCATCTCCAATGTATTAGAGGATTTTTTTAGATAACAACCAAAATTATTTTTTCCTTTGTTTGTGGCTAATCAGTTTATAGGTGACAGTTATGAAGAATGACTTGCCGTCAGCCGTTTAATGTCTGTATCTGCTAGTATGCAGTGGTAGAAACAGGCTTTTAAGAAATACTTTCTGATGACGTTGTGCAAATGAACTATTTAAGTTAAAAAAAAAATTACCCATATTATGGTAACTGTTGTGTATGATTCAAGATGTGAACCTGAAAATGTTTTCATGGTCTAGATTACATATCAAAAAGTGGGAGATGGGACATAGAACATTGCCACCTATTTTGCAATTTTACCACATGCCTGGGACAACAGTTGTAGCTTATCCAAGAAATTATTTGTATTAGGACAATATTGTTGAGTCTTCTGTTTCAGGGAACTTGTTTAGCTGCTATGGAGAAAAAATGTGATGTTGATGAATGCTTCATAAAAAGTTGGCAAGGTGCTTTGCAAGCCATAAGAATGAACTGTCCTTAAAAATCATCAGGGAATTAATTTTTTTTTTTTTGCCATTTTGCAGCTCCTGAAGGAGTTGCACAGCTGGCAGAGCATATTGCCCGTCACCATGCCAGACTTGGCATTTGAAAGCCTGCCAGATTGCTTTGTGCTGTTGCGCTAGTTACGGATCAGCAGTGTGCAACAGTATGAAAATAGTAAGCGTTTTATTTTGTGCCCTTTGTCGGATCACACGAGTTACTACTGCATTTATATAAAGAGTCCAACCTGGTTTCTGAACCTACCAGGTACTTACGTTGCATTACCTGGGTAGGTTAGCCTCCATGCTGCAGGTATCTGTAGACAAATTATGTTCTTGACGTATTCTGGTAAAATTTCCATTAGTATCAAAGTTTGAAATCGCTCTGTATAGCCTGCTTTTCATGTTTTATGTAATTTTATTACGCTTCAGTATTTTTTTCATAATCTCCCTGATGTTACTAATGCACAATATTGCAAATGCAGTATAAAACTAGTCAACAGACTTTAAATCATTTGTGTATCTCTAAACCTCTTATGCTGATTAAAAGTGTTAAGGCTATTAGTATTTTTTATGTAACTGGGTCTAAATTTAGTTTCTGTTGCAGTCAAAAAACACTCTGGTATTGCAAATCATGATCCTAATCTGCTTCCTCTTGGAGTTGATGGCAATAGATCTTCAGCGCAGCTTTTGTGTTTCTGTGTTTTGATGACTTGAAATAGTTAATATCGTGTTTATCATAGAAGTTCGGTAGTGACTCCTCATAGTTCTGATTTCTCTTCCAGAATTGTCAAAATACTACTTTTGTTCTTGTGTGAAACAGGATTTTAATTACTTTTGGGCATTGTTTTCATTAATTCTTGACTTTTTAAAATGGGATTTGAGTAGCCCATAGGCTACTGCTCCATTGGTTGGGAGGAGGGGACTGTTGATATTTTAACTTACGTTTAATTCTTCTGGGTTTTGTATGGAGAGGCAAAAAGAAAAATGTTAAACTGGAAAAAGTAGAGATCATGTATGTAGTCCCTACCTTCCAAAATGAATGGCTGTAAAATACCTGTGTGACAGCCTTATCCTGCAAAACTGCACGTGTTTCATTCTGCATAGCCTGTTCTTACTGTTTTAACAGCTTATTATGAAAAAGCTGTGAAGTGATGCCATCATATATTAATGACTTTACTTCCCACAGTATTGTGCGTTGCCTTTGGTCAGTCAAGGTGCGTGGTCTTAATTTCACACATGCACAAGTTTTATGTCATAGTTGACAGCTTGCCTTAAAAAGCAAGCTTAAAAAAAAAAAGACTCTGCATTGGTAATTGAGGTATTAGAATATATGGTGAAACAAGTCATCAGCTTTGTGTTCAAGAAACCAGTTGGAAAGATTGAACATTTGACTAGTAGCCTTGCTGCTATTTATATATAAAAATGAGTGGCTTTAGGCTGAGGTATAGAAATGGGTAATTTACATGATTTTTTTTCTTTCTAATACAAAATTAAAGCTTATTTTTCTAATGCATGTGTGCATGATCTCAAAAATAAGCTAGAGACTGCATTGTGTGAGCTGTATGTACAAGAGTCAGTATTTATATACCCGAGTACAGAACTTGAGTGCTTCACGCTTATGGTAGTTTTACTCCTACGTTTGCAGGGCTATTCAGCTGATTGTTTTGTAAGAAAGAAGTAGCTTCCAAATTATACAGTTATTTACATGATCTGTGAATGGAAACTTCCTTTGCTTGTCAGAACATGTGCCATGTGCTCTTAACAATTTTGAAATTGTTCTAAACACTTCTAGGTATGAGGGGAAATACTTTAAGAAAAAGTTGAGCTGCCTAAAGAAACTAACCATCTACTTGAGACTGGGGAAGGATATCTGCCTTGGTATTCTTGGTTTGGAAATAAGGTGCACATGGCGTGAAGAAAGAGCTTTAGGCAGCATGGAAGGGAGAAATAACCAAAACTGTGATGACTTTTATACGGAGATGCTGTTCTGCTTTGTTCACAAGGGTTATGGATGTCTTGTCAACTGTTCGCTGTAGAATTTGGCATGAGATTAAGATTTGGAAGGGGAATGGGAGAGTTTTACTGGCAGATCTTCTGTGTCTGTAAGCCTGTCGTGTCAGAAGAAAAGACCGGTACATGTTTTTCTCCAGGATAAGATGAGGTTAGGGTTATGAACAGCACCAGAAAGACTTGCTCGTGGATCACACAGCAGGGTCTGCAGATTTAGGTTTGATGGCTGCAAGTGGTTAATGGAATATGCTGTGTTGGGTGGTTTGGCTTATTTGATTTATAATTTAAGTTATGGCTAGGGACAGGGTTAGGG